AGACACTCTCCTGAGGAAACCCATTTGTACCCGTGACCTAGTTCTTTCGGTCATGACCCATCCTTCATGACCATAGGTGAGGGTAGGAACGAAGATTGACCGGTAGATCGAGAGCTTTGCCTTCCGTCTCAGCTCTCTTTTCGTCACAACGGTGCGGTAAAGCGAGTGCAATACCGCCCCCGCTGCTCCGATTCTCCGGCCAAACTCACACTCCATTTTCCCCTCACTCGTGAACAAGACCCAGAGGTACTTGAACTCCTTCACTTGGGGTAAGGACACATTCCCTACCTGGAGTAGGCAATCCATCGGTTTCCTGCTGAGAACCATGGCCTCATCAGATTTAGAGGTGCTAATCCTCATCCCGACCGCTTCACACTCGACTGCGAAACGCTCCAGTGAGAGTTGGAGGTCACAGACGGAAGATGCCATCGGGACAACATCATCTGCAAAAAGCAGCGATGAGATCCGCAGCCCCCCGAACTGTAGACCCTCCTCCCCCCGACTACTCCTCGAAATCCTGTCCATGAAAACCACAAACAAGATTGGTGACAAGGCGCAGCCCTGGCGAAGGCCAACCCCCACCGGAAACGCCTTTGACTTACTGCCGAGCACCCGAACACAGCTCCCGCTTTGGGCGTACAAGGATTGGATGGCCCCAAGCAAGGACCCCCTCACTCCGTACTCCCGCAGCACCTCCCACAGTATCTCTCGGGGGACCCGGTCATACACCTTCTCCAAGTCCACAAAACACATGTAGACTGGTTGAGCATACTCCCAAGCCCCCTCTATGATCCTGGAAAGAGTGAAGAGCTGGTCCGTTGTTCCACGACCAGGACGAAAAACGCATTGTTCCTCTTCAATCCTTGGTTCGACTATCGGCCGAACCCTCCTTTCCAGCACCTTAGAGTAGACTTTACCCGGGAGGCTGAGTAGTGTGATACCCCTGTAATTGGCACACACTCTCTGGTCCCCCTTTTTGAAGAGGGGTACCACCACCCCGATCTGCCACTCTTTTGGCACTGTCCCAGACTTCCACGCAATGTTGAAGAGGCGTGTCATCCAAGACAACCCCCCAACACCCATTGCTTTTAGCATCTCTGGACGGATCTCATCAATCCCCGGGGATCCCCTAACCCTAACCCTAGTTGGGTTCAGGAGTTCCTCAAAGTGTTCCTTCCACCGTCCGATAACCTCCTCAGTCGCGGTCAACAGGGTCTCATCCTTACTGTACACAGCTTGGATGGTTCCCCGTTTCCCCTCCTGAGGTGCCGGATGGTCGTCCAAAAGCACTTTGGTGCCGACCGAAAGTCCTTCTCCATAGTTACCCCAAACACCTCCCATACTCGCTGCTTTGCCTCCATCACGGCAGAGGCTGCTGCCGTTCGAGCTTGTCGGTACACTGCAACTGCCTCTGGAGTCCCACCGGATATCATAACCCGGAAGGCCTCCTTCTTCAGTCGGACGGCTTCCTTGACCACCGGTGTCCACCACGGGGTTCAAGGGTTACCGCCCCTTGATGCACCTAAGACCTTGAGGCCACAACTCACTGCCGCGGCTTCAGCAATGGAGGTTTTGAACATAGACCACTCTGGTTCAATGTCCCCTACCTCCACAGGAATGTGAGAGAAGCTCCGCCAGAGGTGTAAGTTGAAAATCCTTTGGACCGGGGCCTCCTCCAGACGTTACAAGTTCACCCTCACTACACGCTTGGGTTTACCGGGTCTGTCCCGAGTCTTCCCCCATCCTCTGACCCAGCTCACAACAAGATGGTGATCAGTTGACAGCTCTGCCCCTCTCTTTACCCGAGTGTCCAGAACATGCGGCCTCAGATCAGACGATACGATTACAAAATCGATCATTGATCTTTGGCCTAGGGTGCTCTGGTACCACGTACACTTATGAACATCCTTATGTTCGAACATGGTGTTTGTTATGGACAATCCGTAACTGGCACAGAAGTCCAGTAACAAACACCCGCTCGGGTTCAGATCAGGGAGGCCATTCCTCCCAATCACGCCTCTCCAGTTATCTCCTCCCATATTCTTAGTCTGGCCCCTCGCCTGAGACCACTTTGCCAAGGGTAACCCTACCAGGAGCACAAGGCTCCCGACAACACAGCCCTCAGGTTCATAGGGACCCACAAACCTCTCCACCACGATAAGGTGACGGTTCCCAGAAAGGCACATAAATAGTGATTTATTATATTTATTCATTACCAGCTGCGACACGAACGCATCAACAATCACATTTAAATAACACAAGACGTTTTACTCTTAAATGATGAGACGTCTCTGGTATTTATTTGACTGAAGCAGAATATCCGAGTCCTTCTTCCGCCGCTGGCTGCAGCTGATTGGATGATGCCGTTAGTAACTTACATGCCGGGTTCCTTTCTCTTTAAAGAAATGACGGCGTTGAGCAACAGCAACGAAGCCCCCGAGGACCAGAGGAGGGACGAGAATCAGGAGCGATGCTCCGGCTGGCGTGTCTTCAAGGAGGTGAAGGATCAAACTGAGGACGCGTCACTGATGTTTGATTCACAGCAAATCACAATAAAAAAAATATCATATATGAAATATTAAGTTCGCAATGATATAAAACAGAAAAAACAGCAATTTAAGAAGCTGGAATCAGGTTTGATTAAAGATTACACAACATAACTTCTAACTTTGAAAGCTGCACACGTCTCTCAGATTCACCATTCAACTTTAATTTGGGGTTTCTCAGTAGTTTTAATGCGTGTTTAAGCAATAATTATGAATGGAAACTGTTTCTTTTAACCTTTTGGTCCCTTTCCAGGCGGTTTCCGTGGCGTTCCTGTGTTTTAGCGTCGGTTACGGCTTCTTTTTGAATGTTAAGTCGTCGTGTGTCCCTCAGATCAGGTGGATGGCTGCGTACGTGATGGCCGTGTTCATCGTCACCCTGTCGGTGTTTCCTGTGATCACGAGCAGAGTTCAGACCGTCTCCAAGGACAACGCCGCCTGGGGTAGGCGTAACCAAGGGTTACGGCGTTGCGGACAGCCTGCAGGGCTCTTGTTTCAGGTCTGAGCTTAATGGTCATCGGTGTGTTTTAGCCTCACGCCACCTGCTCTCCGTCCCTCGCAGACAAAGTGTTCACCTGCGTTTGCTGCCTCATCGTTTTCAACGCCATGGACCTCTTGGGCCGCATTGCCACCATTTTCGTCCAATGGGTGAGCAGCGCCGGCCACTTTCACCTTTAACCTTTTGAACGCAGCCCCTAAATGGCGGCGGTGTGCGCGCAGCCCTCGAAGGAGAGCCGTTGGCTTCCCATCGCCGTGGCGTCTCGCGGGCTCTTCGTCCCTCTGCTCATCATGTGCAACGTGCAGAACTTCAGATCTCCCGCCGTCTTCCGCAGCGACGGTTTCTTCGCCTTCATCATGGCGCTGTTCGCCGTCTCCAACGGGTACCTGGCGAGCCTCTGCGTGGCCTACGCTCCACGGTGAGTCTGCAACAGGAAGCGGTTGTACTTCACGGTGCGGCAGGACGGGGTTCTTCTGCTCAGACTCCTCGGAAGTCCAAGTTTGCTTGAAAACCAACCAACCCGACCGACGCAGCAGGAGACCCGTGGCTTTAACGTGACCATGAACCGACCCTGTTCACGCGGACGCACGTGGTGACTGCGCTTTGTGTCCGTCAGGTTGGTGCGGGGTGCAGACTGCGAGGCGGCCGGCCTGGTGATGAGCCTCTTCATGGTCCTGGGCCTGTCGCTAGGAGCGTTTCTCTCCTTCTGGTACATGAGAGTTCTCAGCTGTGATCTCAGCAGCTGCCATTGATTCCAGGTTCGCGTCCACATTGCTCCTCTCAACCTCCGCAAACGTGTAGCACGATGGCCGCGCGCGTGACGAAGACGCGACGCCCTCGTTTCCAGACTGATCCGTTTCCAGAGCGCCGAAGAGGCTCGGCGTGAACGTAGCAGAACACGTGCGTTTTGAAGGGGAAACGCTGTGTGTGGATGTCGCCTCAGAATAGTGATCACTGGTGGGAACTGTTTGTAATCTACAGAATTATAAAGCTCAAGCTTCTTCTTAACTGTTTTAATAAGGGATCGTTTAATTAGACTTTTTGATATTTTTTCATATTACAAAGTGTCTGTATTTGTGTTTTAGAAAGTAAGGGACATGAAGCACTTTGTCGAGAGAAAATAAGAATAGAAAACACCAGGACACACATGGATCACTCTGTCAAGCTCGACATGTTAAGTTCACATCGCTACCCAGCTGCGATGGACACGGAGTCGCGGTGAGGACACAACCAGGACGTGGATGAAAACAGGCACATTTGATCCAAAATAATTGATTGTGTTGGTTCCCTGCTGAATCCTTAATGATTGAGATTGTTGGTGTAAGTTATTGGGTCTAATTTGATTTACTTACTATTTACCAGATGTTCTGCTATGGTGAAAATGTTGTGGTCTGTGTCTTAGGAATTGAGTTTTATTATTTATAATTTCATTTATTTGGAATTGATACATTCTTAATTTGCTTTGGGTTTCCAATGTTGGGTCAGTTGCTTTGACGATTTCAAGTCGATTGAATCGTTGTTCAGCTTCTTCTTCAGGATTCAGGAACATTTATTGCCAAAATATGTGAGACATGAAAGGAATTTGACATGTGGGTCTGTGCATAACATCAGACAGTAAGACAACGGGACAATGGACAACAAGACAAATGACAAAGTGCAAGAAAAATGCCATGTTCAATTTACAATTTAACTCTACAGTATGAAATAAAGGGCAGGGATCTTCAACTAAAATGTCAAGAGGTCCAGTTAGAGAAAGGTTCTAGAAGCAAAGGTCGGGAAGATCATAATGTGACTACTCAGTGTGATTAAATAAAGGAATAGAGTTGTATCAACATTTGCATGTAATGAATACATGACTAACAAATGAAATGAATCATGTATGATTCTAAAACGCTTGACAATATTTATTATCACGTATTAAAGAACTGAACATATAAGTGTGACTGCAAATATAAATAATGTTCTCTCAATTAACTAAATAAAAGTAGGGCTGCATTTAAATAAAATTAAATGAAATATTCTCCATGGTCATATAAAGTGCTAGGGTTAGGGGGAAATAGAATACAAATAATAAATAACGACAAACAGGAAAGTAAAGTTAGTTAAACATTAAGTGCACTGGCAAACAGATAACCATACACGACTGTGTTGTGAGTGACAAGTGCACGTGGAATGTGAAGGGAGTGACCGCAGGAAAATGTCACTGTCAGTCAGTCACTGTGTTATTCTTCCTTTAAAAGTTAAACCTTGGTGTAAGTTGTTCGAACAGCGGACTTTGTCTCTCTCTGCATACTGTTGATGACTGAATCCTCCAGCAGTCAGCATGAATCAGAGGAGGAAACAAACCTCACCAGCTGATGACGCTCCAGTAGGAGGCGGAGCTACACGGAGGGGCGGAGCTTCTACGTCACTCTCCAGAAATGAAAGTTCGTTGGTCAGAGAGGCAGACGCGCTGCAGTGAAGACAAGTCTCCGTGTTTCTCTGAGAGAAAAGTCAAAGTGACGTCATCAGGTGTTCCTCAGCAACACAGCAGAGTCTCTTCAGAACACTGGTGAGTACAGCTAGTCACATTTACACCTTCAACAAGCAGGAAGAACACACAACTTGTACTTTACTCAGGCAGGAAGTTCCTCTCTGTTCACTTCCTACTTGATAGAAAGTTAACAATAAAACCACGTGTGTTTATCCACAGTCCCACGATACAGTAACTCAGACTAACAGCTTCAAACTGTCCAGGACTTCAGTCACTTGGAGCTGAATCTCTGTGCTTTAAACTTTAGTGTCTCTCTGTTTCCTGATCCCTTCCTCTGTTTCCTGTTGGTGCGTCACGTTAAACGTGTTCCACAGTGAACCTGCTGGAGGCTTTTAGTGTGAGTCTTCTAAATGAGACGCTACGTGTTTGTCACCAAGTAAGCAGAGCGTTGTTAGCGTGCTGCTCTTTATTCACAGCATGTGGACACATTCTGGACTGGTTTCAAAATAAAACTATTCATAAAAACTATTTTAAATAAAACGTTGTACTTCTCTTCCACAACATGTGTAGACATGGCTTCTGCAAACTATGGTCCATCTGAAGATCAGTTCCTGTGCTCCATCTGTCTGGATGTGTTCACTGATCCAGTCACCACATCATGTGGACACAACTTCTGCATAAACTGCATCAATGAACACTGGAACACCAGCGACCAGAACCTGTGTCCAATGTGTAACAAGGACTTCATCACCAGACCTGATTTGAGGGTCAACACCATGTTCTCTGAGATGGTTGTTCAGTTCAGACAGTCTGCTCAGCAGAAAGCCAGCAGCAGCAGCTCAGAGCAACAAGAGTCCAAACCAGGAGAAGTTCCCTGTGACGTCTGCACTGGAACCAAAGTGAAGGCCCTCAAGTCCTGCCTGGTGTGTCTGCTCTCCTACTGTGAGACTCACCTGGAGCCTCATCTGACTATGTCAGGTCTGAAGAGACATCAGCTGATGGACCCTGTGGAGAACCTGGAAGGCAGGATGTGTACGAAGCACGATAAACCTCTGGAGCTGTTCTGTAAGAGCGACCAGACGTGTGTCTGCATGCTCTGCACTATTTTAGACCACAAGAACCATGAGTATGTTCCTCTGAAAGATGAATATGAAGAAAAGAAGGTTGAGCTGAAGAAGACAGAGGCTGAAATCCAGCAGATGATCCAGAAGAGAAGAGTGAAGATTCAGGAGATCAAACACTCGTTCGACCTCAGTGAGGAAGATGCAGGCAGAGAGAAAGCAGAAGGTGTTCAGGTCTTCACTGATCTGATGGAGTCTGTTGAAAGAGGCTTGAAGGAGCTCCTCAAAACCATAGAAGAGAAGCAGGAAGCCACAAAGAAACAGGCTGAAGCTTTCATCAGAGAGCTGGAAGAGGAAATCTCTGAGCTGATGAAGAGGAGCGCTGAGGTGGAGCAGCTCTATCTCTCTGAAGACCACCTCCATCTTCTCCAGTCCTCAAACATCCATCAGCCACCACCCACCAAGGACTGGACAGAGGTCAGTGTTTGTCCTTCATATGAGGGGACTGTGGTGAGAGCTGTGTCTCAGCTGGAGGAGACACTCAGTAAGAAGATGAAGAAGTGGTTTGCTGAGCTGAAGAGGGTCCAGATGTTTGCAGTGGATCTGACTCTTGATCCTGAAACAGCTCATCCTGATCTCATCCTGTCTGACGATGGGAAACAAGTGAAACTTGGTGATGTGGAGAAGAATCTCCCAAACAACCCAGAGAGATTTTCTAGCTGGTACTGTGTTTTAACAAAGCAGAGTTTCTCTTCAGGCAGATTCTACTTTGAGGTTCAGGTTGAAGGAAAGACTCAGTGGGTTTTTAGGAGTGAACAGAGAGTCAGTCGACAGGAAGAGATTCATCTCACGGAGTCCTCAGGATGGTTACTGGATCATATGTTTGATGCGTGGAAATGAATACGAAGCCTCTTATGGTCCTCCAGTTGTTCTCCCTCTGAAGTCTCGTCCTCAGAAGGTGGGGGTGTTTGTGGACTATGAGGAGGGTGTGGTCTCCTTTTATGACGTAGAAGCTGCAGCTCTCATCTACTCCTTCACTGGCTGCTCCTTCACTGAGAAGCTCTTCCCGTTCTTCAATACTGGTTTTATTGACGATGGTAGAAACTCTGCTCCTCTGATCATCTCTCCTGTCGGAGTAAATTAATCATTCTCTGATTTCATGTGATGATTTTATTCATTAAAGGGAATAAATGTACATATTTTATATAAATACTGTATGTTTTTCTCTTTATTTCTGTATCATGACGCCTTATGGAGAATATCTATTTCAACCTTTTGAATCCAGACTGTTTTATTTTCACTAAATATCCAAAGCTGAAGTTTGACTTTGAGTAAATCAGCAAAACAAATTATATCTGATGTGAAGCCTCTGAAAACATATTGTTGAATATTTAATATTCTCATAAACGCCTCTGACCTTTCCATCATGTTCACAGAATACACTTTGTGTTGTTGTTATTGTGCATAAAAGTGAATTAATATAGATGCAAATGTTCTTTTTGTGTGAAAAGTGGTTTGAATTATTTAAAGTCACTTTGGCTCATTTTGATTTGTTTTGTGAATATTTGTAATAAGACTTAAAAATAAAGAGTGATTGTTGAAAAAAAGGAAACATACATCTCTTGAACAAGTTACTTTTGCCTCATAAATAACTTGAACTGAACACTGAACAGAATTGACGGGTTTACACAAGTTATATTTATATTCATGTTAATTAAAAACGTCTTGTTTAATGCAGGAAACATGTCCGAGTTCTCTGTTTATTGATCACGTGATAATTGGTCAGTGTGAACGACACGAGTTCCACAGAAAGATCAATTCTAACGTGAGTTAATACACGAGGTTGATGAAACTGTTCAGTGGCTTCAGATACTGAGGAGAATCCACTCGACTGAGAACCAGCAGCAGAATAACCAAATACAACTGTAATTATTGTAATTGGAAAATGATATGTGACCCTTTTAAATGCTTCGTTTGTATAACCAGTTTATTAGTTGCATGTGCTTCGATCACAAAGGCCCTGACATAACTGATGTCTCCCTCTTGGATTAGATGTTTCCAGCGTCATAGCTGTAGAGATTGAACAAAGTGTTCGTTATGTCTATGACCACCTTTGTTTTAGCAAGGACACGGTCAAAGAGCTGACGTGTCTTACATGGACAAGATGTTCCCAGTACCCTGGCTGTAGAGACTCAACAAGATGGTCAAAGGTTTCTGTTGACGCCACCGATATCTAAACTGCCTCGATGTGTTGGGGGGAAAAAAAGGAGGTTCTGGACAGTCTACTGACCACGTAGCTGTTGTGACCCTTTTTCCCTTAGAAGGAAATAAACTGAAAAAAGATATACTTGACTCAGAGCCTTTGTTTCTTACTTAACGATTGTCTGTGCAAAATCTTCCACCACAATTTGGTGTCAGAAGTGGGATCGTTTGAAGCTCCGTCGGGACTCCGAGGACGTCCGGGAAGGGACCCCTTCAGGATCCACCAAA